GACCCCCAATACTTATAAATCTGAAGTGCAACTCCAAGCACACCCACAAAATCCAATTTAAGCTTCTCTAAACTCATAAAAAGGGTAGGAAATAGCCCCAAATCAAGATCTAGGAGATAGATGGTCAAGGTTCCAACTTTTTACCTTGAATGAGTTGAGAATAGAGCAAAACCTCTGGATCTTCTTGCTTCTACTTGAACTCCCAAGCTTCCTTCCTCCTTTCCAACTTCAAAAACACACAAAAGGTACCAACAAGCTCAAGAACACACAATAGAGGCTTAGGGTTCATTTAGGGTTTTCTCTGGGTTGGGAGGGACGATGGGGGCTGGGTTAGGGCGTTATAAGGTGTTTAAATAGGGTGCAAACCCAAATATTAGGGTTTCATTTAGACAGTCCTACTCGTCGAGTAGGTCACTTAACCCCCCCGATCAAAAGTCAAGTCTACTCGACGAGTTAGGCCTCCAACTCGTCGAGTCCCAGAGCAAAACATGGAGTTACTTGAATTTAAGTACGTATCAGGAACCAGGTGTTACATGATTCTTCTAAGTCACCACACTAAATCTATATACCAATCCTATGTTATACAACATACAAAATCTACTATGACACTACCTAGGCTCTCCTAGGAATTCTCAATCTGGCCACCTCTACCATACAAAGAATCTCAATCAACATTGTCATTTGCCCTATGCATGCGTGTTATACACAAAATGGGATCACAAAGACTGTCAAGTGATGATTCTACCTTAAGTCCACAACAAAACAAGGAATAGGAAATGAGGTTAAATCGATCATTCTAGGGCTATATGATCCTAAACATATATAACTTGTAGAGCATACACTTAGCAATTAATTGAGCCGATATCGATTCTAATCAATACATAACATCCAAATCCCCTAGGCTATAAGGCATCACACAAATCAAGAAATTCTATCATACGATTCCTGAAGGTATCCTTATCCCTATTATAGCATGTAATTCATATATCAGGCATACTAATGACAATACATAGATATGGGTATTTTTAGGAATCACTTACTTGAGCTGGGATGATTGCACGCATCGCACCCCTCCTTTTTTACTTGGTGAAAATATTTTCAGAATTTGAATTTTTTTTTGAAAAGATTATTATTTCCTTATTTTGGGTTCTGACACACCTGAAAGTGTGCTCGAATCCCTCAAACCAAGGCTCTGATACCAACTTGTAATGACCCAAAATTCATAAGTAAAAAATTTATTTTTAAGTTCATCAATCCCAAACATCACATGTTTCAAAATAATCCAAAATACAAACTATCACAAAAGCTCATAATAAAAGAGATCATAAATGCCGAAATCATGAGGGGGAGGATGTTGTGCCATCACGTCGGGCCCTTCCCTTTAGTACTGGAAGTACCTGAAACCAAAAACATAACTATAAGCACAAAGTTTAGTGATCTTCCCCAAAATACCACATACATCATACACATAAATATAACAACACGCGATTGTGTCAGGTTCATAACAACCCCCGGTTCGTATCAGCCCCATGGAACAACAAATAGTTTCATCGGGTCTGTATCAACCCCGAGTCCATAATGACTCCGAGCCTAGATTGGATCTAAATATATATCGGACAAGCACATCGGTAATAGTCACATAAGTGCATACATTCTACACGTACGAATCAGTGGGCCGACCTTGGTGCCTTCAACCCACTAGTGTGGTAAGAAGACTCGCCTCTAGTTGAAGATAACCGAATCTCAGACTCAAGCTGCTGCTGCTAACACGACTCCTTTCACTAATCAAAACCCAAAGACAACCCTAATTAAAATCAGGGTTTTAACCCATAATCAATGGTCCAAATAATCTTTTATCTTATTAAGGGAAAAAGACCATTTTGCCCTTCCCATACGTAAACCAACTAATCAAGGCCCAAGGCCTAAAAATGGCCCAATGATTTTCTAGGAGTCTGCCCAACGTACTCCACATTACATCCAACGTACAGTCGATCCATGGAAAGGTTACGGGGCCATAACCATGTACGCCCAGCGTACTCAGGTTTATGCCTAGTGTAATCACATGAGTTCCAAACTCTAAACTAAGGTCTTAATGGGTTAAGACTTAATGTCCAAACTTCAGATCCAAACCTAATAAAACGTCTAAATCCATAAAGTTGCAAACTTTATGCCTTTGCATGGAAAACGAAGCTCAAAACCAAAACCCTAACTTATATTATCATCTAAACTTCCATAACTCTTACATGGATGAATACCAAGGACCAAGCTTGCATTTTTGTGACACTATACACCCTAAAACATCTTAAATGACAACTTAAAAGCTTTGGAGTATCACATACCCACGAATATCAAGGCTTTGGGACAAAAAGAATATGAATCTAAGCTTAAACAAAATCTAGCAAAGAAAGCTCCAAGGTATGAACTTTATACCTCCATAAGATGCACAAAATGAGAAGAATCTGGATCCAAAAGCTTAAGAGCAACACCATAACTTTAAAGGTCTCCCTTCACCACCAAGAACACCAAAATGTCACTCTAAAGCTTCAAAACTCACACACAAAAATTAGGGTTTCAAGATGGAGGTTGGAGGTAAGAAAGGGTCTAAGGCCATAAAGTTCTTTAAATAGGGAAGAAAACCCTAAAAATTAGGGTTTCCCTCTGCTTGAGTACGCCCAATGTACAAACACGTATGCCTAGCATACACGAGGGATTTCGCGACCAACTTTAAGGACCTACGCTCGGCGTACCCATCTCGTACGCTTAGCGTATGGACCAAATTTTCAATCTTTTTATGGAATCAACGCTAAAATGAAAAAAAAAAAAAAAAAAAAAAAAAAAAAAAAAAAAAAAAAAAAAAAAAAACTGGAGCATTGGCGTTACAGCTGTCCAGATTGAACATTGCCCTTATTTTTGTTTCGTTATTTTTGGCATTCTCTTTCACCCAAATATATTCTTCTATGCGCAATGACTACGTAATTGAACCAAAGACAATTCTTTTTTTTTTTTTAAATTGTGTTTGAAATCCTTCCATGAAGAGGGAAGTTTATCAATCTCACTTGAGACATCAATGGATTCGTCCATATTCATCTTGTGTAAAGTAAATTTCCCCAATATATGAAGGAGTTCATTATATTGTTCAATTAAGGACCTTAAATCAACCATCTTATAGTTATTGAAATCACTCATTAAGAACTTCTTACTAGAAACATCTTCATCGATATATTTTTAATTCAAGGGATTTCCATAATGCCTTCGCACTTTCAACATTTTGGTAGATATCGAACAAGGAATCAAACATATCGTTTAGAATGTGTCCTCTGCATATATAATCATCGTTTTCCCACTTACTGCGCTTCTGAGTTTGTTCCAGCATCTCATCTTCCACTTCTCCAAGCTCAGAGTACTCAACACATACACCACTTTCAATGTTGTCAATAGAAAATGCATCTTTTTCTACCAACGTCTGAAATCATTCCCTTCAAATTTGTCAAGTTTTTTTAATTTCGAAGTCATGTCTTTCACAAAATCCGCCATGAACACCATCAAAAAATATCAATTCGATTATTAGAAATAGGGTAGAAATAGAATATGATCACTAGATTCTTCAAGGATCATTTAGTTCATGTTCCTAATCGATATTTCTCCTATATTTTTTGGGTTACGAGAAATTTGATATTGGATAATTCATAAAGGAACAATCAAAATAATGTTTATTAAAGTTAACTTATTTAGCTTATAACCACTGTTGATATCTAAACATTTAAACTTAGTTTATAGCTGTAGAAATAAGCAATAAGCTATAAGTTTCTTTTTTTTTTTACCTATCCAAACACCCTCTAATAGTAAAGGGTTGTTTTCATCCATCTATTTAATTACAAAACTATTGTACTTTTTTGGTAAAAAGAAAAAGAATTGAAAAATAAACATTATTACCCAATTCTTTACTATATCTATACGTTGGGTTAAAACTGAAAATGAAAATATATTGGAAATGGTCTAACAATCAAACCAATAATTATGTTTACGTTTAGAGTGTTTGGTGTTCCGCATACCGGTCCAAATTTACACGATTTTTTTTTTACATAGTATTATTGTACTTTTTAAATTAGCAAAAAATAGTTTTTTATTGTCGTATGATAACGCTTCAAATAGCACTGCTAGCACTGAATTAAATCACATTTAAAAATTAAAAGCTATTTTAGACGACTATACCAATATGGCAATATCTTAATTCGCAAACATTAGGGGTTGCAACTGATCACCATTAGCATTCCCAACCCATCACAACCTAAAATATTTTCATTTCTTCTTAAAAAAACAAACTAACAACTTGATTGGGCTAATAGTCACAAAACCATGTTGTAATTTCAACCCAATCCAACCCAGATTTATACACAAACTTGTTTATGCTAACTGACTCTTGAATTTGAACTTTGAATGGAGACAAATATAGGTCCATAACATAACCTATCTTATTAATCTTAACCTCCCTCTTTGTCAAATTTCATCATAATCAGGACTCTCCGTATTCAAAACACTACCAACTCATGCAGTATCATTATTTGTTTTTACTTGATACATTAGTATTTAGTAATACAAAAAATCAATTTATTTCATACTCCCAAAATAGGTGTTCTCTTTTAATATTACCTATTTCCTTTGCAGTGGTAAGTCTTCACTGATTTTCAAATGAGGATAATAATAATCTATATATTTTTCATTAACTTAAAAACTATTATTATACAACAGGCGTATTAAATATAATAATAATAATAATCTATATATTTTCATTATTAGAGACAAGAAGACACTTTCAACCCCAAACTCATATGTTGTAATCCATGACGTCATTCAGCCCTCATATGAATCAGAATCACCCCCATGTGATCGCAATATTATCATTATTATTATTATTATTATTATTATTAATTAATATGCACTCACACTCACACTCACGCAACACAAATGCTTACCTCCCAAAGCATACATTACATGTCCAGTTACACTGCATACCATTCGTACAACACGTTCCTGTAACATCTTCCAACATCACCTCAATAAAATCAAACACCACTATACAATAAAATACATCATGACAAAAAACAAATTCCACTAAGAAATTGAATTTCATTAAATAATAACAAAACTACATGAACAATTATATATTAAGCAACCTATATTACTATTTTTTTTTTTTTCTAATGACAATAAAAAGCTTTCTCCCAATTCCACAATCTATTGGATATGACAATAAAAAGCTAACCTGGATGCTTCATTTGTCACTGTTCCAACATTCAGAAGCAGACATGGCCTGCTAATTGCAAAACACAGTAGAAATGTATCGTTTTACATAATGATATAAACAAAAGTGAATTAAATAACAAAATCTTTAAAATTAGCATACTTTTTAAACTTAGCCAAGAGAAGCATCGCATCCATCCAGCATTCAGCATCCCGTGCTTGATCTTCATCTTCTTCTTCTCTTTCTTTCTTCCATTGAAGGAAGTAAAAACACATGACATGGTTAGAAATTAAACAGGCTTCCAACAAGATAATGCAACCATAATCCTTCCTTTCCATCCTTGCAACATCCAATGTCCATCTTCATCAATCCCAAAATCTCTATGGTAACGTGACCTTGCCCTTTCCATAGCCATCTTCAAGATTTCTTGATTTAATGGGAGTTGCCTGAATCCAGCTCTCATATTCCTAACCTGCCACTGTTTATAAGTTTCAGGTCTAGCAATCCTCTCACCACCTTCACAAGCAATCACATTCATGGCTTCTTGTCCCCATATCCCTTTCTCAATCAGCATCCTCTCAAGAACCTCACGCCCCACACTAGCCTCAATCATATCAAACAAAGAAGAGAAGAAAAACAAAGCTTCTCTGAATCTTGTTATAAAAAAGGGAGCATTGTAGGACCCGTTCACCACCCCTTGTATAAACATATCCGGTTTCATTTTCCTAATCAAGTTCACAACTTTATTCCTTGGACTATCCACCATCACTGTCTCATCAAGAAGATATCTAAACCTATACGCACAATTCACAATTAGGGTTTCCTCAGTATCCAATTCAAGATCCTCGATTGTGATCGTTTCCCATTTTTGAGCTATGGCTTTGAATTTGAAAGGGACATTGAAAGTTTCCGCATAATTCGCTAGCCTGCGACCCGTTTCCTCGACCCGTTGTGAGGGTCGAAACCCGGGACACGGGAAGTCGATCCCGGTGATTCGAAGCTCGGGGGGCCCACCAGGTCTGGTTGAAAGACGTTGTATGAAGCAAGGCCATTGGAAGCCATAAAGAATGCCAAAATCGACTATATGAACCTTTCTTTTGTTTTGGGTAGTATGCAAGATTGTCTTGTTAGAGAAGAAATTTGAGATCTTTATGAAAGGGCAACAACTGAGGTATAAATGGTAAGCTTTCAACACATCTACAGCTGATGTTGGTCTGAAAAGGAGTGTTTTGTAGATTTCAGTACCTGATCCAGCCATTCGTGCTTCAAGACCAATTGAGAAGTAATGAGCTAATCTTTGCATTCCATCACCTGTTGGTGATGAATTGTCTCTTATCTGTTTCAGTAGATCAACTGCACTTCTTTGATCGTTTGCTGCAATAGCTTGGGCACATAAGCTCAACAGTGTTCTCAAATCCACTACATCTTTTTTCACACCTTTTTTACCACGACCACCTTTTCCCCCATTACCCTTTTGTTGCACTCCATTCACCCCATTAGGGACAACATCACAATGAAGATGGTTTTTTCCTCCATTACAAAGTAGAACATCATCAAACATTTTGGATCGAACAGTTGGCTCGGTGTAAACTGCAGATTGCTTGGAAGTCCTCCCATCATCATCAACATCTTTGGGGTAAGGATTTTTCTTTCCTCTTGTTCTTTCAGGGATGGAAATGGAATTGATTTCATGTTTATTCTCTGCTTTGATAACCAAATCATTAGCTTCTTCCTTGTTTTCATTGCTGAGAAGGAACCTACTCAATCCTGCAATATCATTTTGAAACTGCATAGCAGATCTGCTACTGCCAAGTATATCAGAAACACTTTGGATACTTAGGGGCGAATCCGTAAAACCGTCGATGCCATTACTATTACAGCTTGATGAGCAGTAAGATGATTGAGATCTGGATTGTGAATCAAGATTGACAGAAACACTTGGGACTAGAGGGGAATCGTAATCACTAACATCACAACTAAGACTACTTGTACCACTTATGAAAGAATTGTAGTCCGTTAAGGTAATCTCCTCCCTGCCATCATTATCATACAGAGGTACTGTAGGATGGGGGCTACAGAAAGGAGGGTCGTTTACCATAAGAGCATCATAAAATGATTTCTCTGCAGCTTGAAGAGCAGCAGACTCGTGAAGCATGCAAGTCTTCTCCTCTATGTCTTCTTCCATCAGCATCTGGTTTATGTACTTGAAAACTACGTCGCTAAGGTCAAAATCTTCATGAAGGTCCCCTTCATTGTTTGAGCTAGAAGAAGGACTGGATCTTCTAAGGCCCAGATCAGGCAACTCGGGAGTATGAGTAGTAGAATTTCGATCTAGAAATGTTTCGTTGAGACTCATGGCGTTAAGAAACTTCTGATCTGATAGAACTGTGGCAGATCCATTGAATTTGGTGGCGTTCAAGTTCGATAGCCGATAATCCGCTTTCCATAGCCCATCCATGACCATCTATCTATCTACCACAAAAAATGAAATCATTAATTAAAAGTCATATCACCTAAATCCCTCAACATTCAACATTCAGATCATAAAGTTTATCAGCTTTAAAGGAGATAAATATCTATTATTCGTGTAAAAGTCGACCGAATTTGTGAATTTATAGGATCATAAATAGTTGAAAATCACTGGATTCTAGCATAAAAACAGAATTATTTGAGGTAATCCAGCAACAGCTAAAAAGTAAACATATACTATAATTGAACTCCATTGGCAAAAGAAAGAAAAAGGAAATCAAGAATTTTAAGTCAACAAGAAAGCCTTGAGTTGTGATATTCGAGAACAGAGCGCATAATTTGTCAAAAAGCAAGCGTTAAACGGAACCGAATTATAAAACACGTTTCATAAAACCAAAATTATTGTAGAATCTAACAGCCAACATAACCATAGAAACATGTCCACACAATCAATTGCATCCATGGATGAATGATGAACGTACCTGAGCAAAAACCCTAGAAAACAACGAGAAAGAGTCGTATAGAGAGAGGGTAAAAACTGACATATGAGGAAAGACTTGAGTTGAGTTGAGGGTGTTTGACAATTTTAAAGGGTGTTAGAGGAAAATCTTGACCGCTCAATAGTACCAAAGCTGATAGAGCTATTATGATATTCGTATTCATAAATCATAAATGTTTTTCTATAAATATCTAAAATTTACAGTTGAGTCTCCGAAACTCGTTAAAAGGTGACGATTAAATTCATATAATTTGGAAATTATTAGAAAAAATCATTTGAAATTGAATATGATCGACTTCAAAGATATTATATAAATCGGGTTATAATTATTTATTTTTTTACAAAAATTGTATCTTGAAGCCATGCAATTATGGTGACAAGAGACATGGAACATCATCGATTGCAATCGGACAATCCCCTTTTTATCTTATCTTATGTCCAAAGAGAAGAAGACGTAAACCAAATATAGCAATAAACCCGGTGTCAATAATTATCGTGATTAATGGATTTTATTTTACTAGTGATCATGAGTCTCATATGTAACCAAGTGTAATATGGGGTGTCTTTTTAACCAACCTCATTTGAAATGATGACAAATGTTTTAAAATATCATTAATTTTATCTAAATATAACACTTGTCACCATTTTATATGGGTACAAAGATAAATAGGAAAAAATGTATGAGGATATTTAATTTATGTTATGATTAATAGATAGATTAAACAGGGGTTGGCTAAAAAAACACCTCATATTACCATTTAGACAACCCTTTCAAATGGATAGGAAGATAATTAGGAAGAAAATTAGGAAAATATTTAATTTCTCTAATCATAAATATTAGACCTGTGTTTTGAGGCATATAAACTATCTTATTTATTTTTTAAGCTTATTGTAATCTAGAGTATTTAATGATATCATTTAAATAGTTTATGGGAGTGTTTGGTAAAATTAGGTATTAGCTGGAAGCAAGTAGCAGTTAGCTGCTAACATGTAACGGGTAGCTGAGAGTGGAAAATTGTAGTTTTTATTTGTATATGAGTATTTAGCGAAAGTAACTGGAATTTTTTGAAATGTATATAAAATTACATAAAATTTTAAGGGTAATTATGGAAATTGATTTTAGAGTAAATTACACGAATAATTCCTATGGTTTAGGGTAATCTACCTGTTTGGTCCCTAACTTATTTTTTTAACTCGAAAGATTCTTACTATTTATTTTTGTTACACAATTAATCCATGTTTTACCTAAAAAAAATATTTTACCTTTGATTTTTTAATTTATTTAAATAAACACACCACCAACCTCATCCCCCTCACCTTACATTACTTACCCCACTATTTTTTCCTATTTAAATAATATTATTTTTAGGTGTGACAGCGACCAAGCTCGTAACAAAAACAAGCAGTATGGACCAATGGCGTAACAAACAGTAGGGACTTTCCAAGTTAAAAAGAAAAGTTAATGACCAAACGCGCAAATTAACCAAAACCATAGAGACCATTCGTGTAATTTACTCTTGATTTTAAAAGCTCGTCTTGTTAAACGCTGCATTAAGTAGCTTTTATATTTTGAGCGTTTTTTTTAAACCAAAAGTTAAACGCTCATACTGCCAAACGAAACTTTTTGTTTAAACTATAGTGTTTTGTCAAAAGCTAAAAGATAGAAACTTCCAAATGCTTTCAAAAGCTCCATGCCAAACACGTCAGTTAACTTTTAATTCAATTTTAAAAATATATTTAAGACAATTTATTAATAAACTAATAAAATATTTATTATTTAAATTGATAATAAATTAAAAGTTTAATATATTATCTACATAAAATTATAAAACATGCCAACATTTTTATATAAATATGTGTAATGGTTATTAGTATTAGTAATCGAATATCACGACTTATTAACAAATCCTTTATCCAACTTTATTTTTCACACTAAAATAATAAAAAAATAAGACAAATAATATGTTATCTCCGATCGTAGGAATAGTTTCCTGATCTTTATTATTAAATAGTTTTTTGCTTCTGACAATGATGATTCGCACTCGTATATTATAATGATTTTAAGTATCTTTGAAAAAATATGATTGGATCTCAAGTTATTCTTTTAAAAGGAGAGTAGAGTGCTAACATATTAAATGCAAACGATTGTCTCCACAGTTATCTTACGGCGTTAGATGGTATTATAAATGATTTGACGGTCAAACCTTAAATTTTTATAAATATTGGCTAGTTATATCGTTTGTAAGGTGTGATTTAAGACGATAATTTTATATATAATTATTATTTTTATATGTATTTTCAATTATTATTCATTTTTATACACATATATTACTTAAAACGACATTTTGTTAAAGTTTGATGGTTGATACAAGTCTCGGAGCCACGACGTGTCATGACAAAGTTTTCAGAACCTTGTTTTATACTTTCTATCACGTTTTTTTGTTATTTATAATTATTTATTTTCGTACAAATTGTAAGATATATATATATATATATATATATATATATATATATATATATATATATATATGCTATGATGACTAATACTTCAATCTATGAAAATAAAGTAATTTATTGATATAATTCAGAGAATTGCTCTAATCATAAATTTATAAAGATTCTTCCAGTTTAGGAATTTTGAATGTTTAAGGAAACTAACTCAATTATTAAATTTATAACAAAAATGATATGCGAAAAATAGTTTAATTAAAAATAACTAAAAAAATGAATATGACCAAATAAACAAGAATGAAACATATGACAAAAAAAATATATTTATTAATATAAAATATAGATAAGCATATTCAAGAAAAAAAAAAAAGTAAGCATTGTATCGTTAAGTTTTTTTTCTTATCCCAATAGATAAAAATGCTATTTTTTTTAGATTCGAATTTGTATCTAGTTATGCCTTTTTCTTATACAATAGATAAAAAAAATGCTATCTTTTTAGCTCCAAATTGAAAAGTTGTGTAACATCCCATTTTTAGCAAATTATTAGTCATTCGGTTAATTAATTAGAAAATTATTTAATAAAAAAATAAATTTATACTAATATAATAAATATTTATATAATAAATTTATACTAATATAATAAATAATAATAATTATTGTTGTGGGCTTAAAAAATAAGCAAATGAGTTTTAGGGGCTAAAGGGTAATCTTATAAAACTTATTATGTCGAGATTTTAGTGTTAGGGAACGATTGAATTTTTATGTCAATCCTTAAGGGACCAAAGTTGCGAATGGCCAAATATTTTGCATGAAACTCGTGGGCCTACTCATTTCTTGCTAATAAAGTTTTGAAGAGAATGGTGTCTTATTCTTGCAGCCTAAATCTAAAGACAACCAGCCCTTTACCCTCCTCAATCCATCATGTACATGACCCTAGTCCTAGTTTTTATTTTTATTATTTTTTATTTTTTTATTATTATTATCATTTTTTTTAATAACCGGCAATTTTAGTACACTCCTACGTTAATAACACTTATTTCACATATATTTACAATGAAACTTGAACCCTAGTCCTAATTTCTGGTGATGAGTTTTTGTGAAAAAAGTGTAGTTTTATATCATGTCTCTAACCTAATTCCTAACCTATTAAGTAATCATGGATATACATCTTAAAGTATTGATAATGAAGTCTTAATTCACTGAAATTTTTGGTTTAAAGTTGTAACATCCTATAAAATTTTTTTCAAAAATCAAAGCATTAAATTACTAAAAGAGGGTCCCATCCATACAATTATCGCACATAATTTCATCAAAAAGTGGAAGTTAAGACCAACCCCAAGATTAACACTAAAAATTACATCAATTTTGTGTAAAAATCCCACAAATTTCCTTTTCAATTCCAATCACACACTAAAAATCTAGCACTAAAAACATCTTTTAATATTATATGATATTATTTTACTTAACTATGATAATTTATAAATTAATAATAACAATAATATTATTTTACTTCAACTATATATGTTATGTATGTTAAGTTGGAATTTTAAATATATATATATATATATATATATATATATATATATATATATATATATATTTGTTATATAATAAACTCATATTGTATTGATTATTTTATTTTGTTTAATTATCAAAATTATAAAATACATAAACGAGATTTCACTATTTTAATTAGGTTAGTTCCAAAACAACTTGATAAATAAACTAATGATTTATTATAATTAGGAAAAAGGATATATATATATATATATATATATATATATATATATATATATATATATATATATATATATATATATATATATATATATATATATATATATATATATATATATATAAACGTTTGGTGTGGATGAATAGTTCAACACCAATTTGGTGTGTTCTTGTATCAACACACAAGATTGCTGGCAAGTATAACGTTCCATTGGACGTTATACTTATTGGGGATTTTGACGTGACGTCCTCTGGGTAGTGACATGTTTCGGGATCCTATGGTGCGTCCGAAGCGCATTGTGCCTCTTGTATAGGGGCATGGCTACATGCGACAAATGTTGATTTCTTTAAAAATTCATATCTTCTCCATACGAGTTCAGGTGGATGCGCGTCTGGTATCTATTGAAAGGCCGATCGCGATTTTGGATCAAATTTTCTCACTTTAGAAAATGTTTTCATTGGAATATATATATATATATATATATATATATGTGTGTGTGTGTGTGTGTGTGTGTGTATGTATGTATGTATTAACAAAAAAACATGATGATGATTGGTGGCTTGTCCTACTAAATCGGTGTTTCTTTACGGACCAGTCATTTCAGGTGGGCCCATTTTTCTAATTCGAAGTTCAAACTTTTTTTTTTGAGAATGAGTAAAACATAATATGTTTTTTTTGGATTTTTAAATATTTGGTTACTGAGTTTTTTTCGTCCACAATTACATCTTCAACTTGTTAAACTGTACACATTTAGTTTTTTTAACCGGCTACTCCAAGTTAACCGGTACAAATGACTTAATAGTGTAATATATTTTTCATTTTGTATACATTTAGTCCTTAATATTTTTCTACATATTTATTTCTTGATATTTTTTTATTGCAAAATAATTCAATTTTGTTTTTGTATCAATTTAGTACTTATAAATGATTTCTTTAGGTTTTTCTCACGACATCTTAAGTGGGACAATCATTAATGAGTTGTTTGGGACTTTTGATGCTTATGTCCATCATGATCTCGACTACTTGGTTACTTAGA